CCCTTTAAGTATTGAAAGGCCACAATAAGGTCTCCTTGGAGCCATCACTTCTCCAGGCTGAACAACCCCAACTCTCTCAGCCTGTCCTCATAGGAGAGGTGCTCCAGCCCTCTGATCATCCTTGTGGCCTCCTCTGGACCCACTCCAACAGGTCCATGTCTTCCTTGTGCTGAGGGCTCCAGAGCTGGACACAGTACTCCAGGTGGGGTCTCACCAGGGCAGAGTAGAGGGGCAGAATCACTTCCCTTGACCTTCTGGCCACACTGCTTTTGATGCAGCCCAGGATACGGTTGGCCTTCTGGGCTGCCAGCGCTGCATTGCTGGCTCATGTCCAGCTTTTCATCCACAAGTACCCCCAAGTCCTTCTCCACAGAGCTGCTCTCAATGCCTTCATCCCCCAGCCTGTACTGATACCAGGGATTGCCCCCACCCAGGTGCAGGACCTTGCACTTGGCCTCGCTAAACCTCATGCATGAGGTTTACATGGGCCCACTTCTCAAGCTTGTCCAAATTATATTTCTTGGATGAGTATAAAATACATGACTGAAGAGAAAACAACCCATTCTAGTAGTGATGAGGAATACAATAACCCATCACCGTAGCAAAGAGTATATTTTATTTGAAAAATACGAATAAAAGATTTTGTCCCTTTTGTTTATTAAAGGAAAATGTAACAATTTCTATCAGCAACACTTGCATAAGGAGGTATACTTTACATTACTCTTTTGTTAAAAAAAATATATATATTTTTGGAGATTTTGGAAAAATAAGGATGGCCCAATACTTGCAACACACTCCTGATGTTCCTTAGAATGCACTGCGCCATTTATGTACTGCAAGTACAAGGTCTTAGCACTTTATAATCCACAAAGTAACCCTAGGCAGCATAATTTCATATTCCTCTTGGCATTTAGAACATTTCCTTTGTTACCCTTTCTGTGAGTCTATGAGTTCAGTTAACTCCAGACTGGTCCAATATTTAGATTCTCTAAAGGATGATTTTGTAATCCCTTTTAAATACCAGTGAGAATATTTTCACATAGACATTTTCGTGCAGTATTCACAACTTAAACAACTGCATTAATTAGAATTCAAAACCAAAAATGTTTACAATTATTTTGGTTTCCTAAGAAGAATGCAAAAAATAAAGTGCATAACAGAGTGAAATTACTTTCAACTTTTATAGTCTTCTGTGTATATGAAATAAATAGCGGCACTGATAAACAAATCAGTTTCTTTCAATGTATGAATCTTAATCTGATGCCAGTTGAATTTAAGCTCTTCCTTGTATTTAAAGTGTATTAAATTACATTTTTTACTTTTTAGGTTGACAATATATTTTTACATTTTAAAATGTAACACACACCATTTTCTCAGATGACATGTCAAGAATACAGCATACTGAATGCCCTCACCATTACAAGAAAGAGGGTTTGTTTGATTTAATTTGAATAATTAATTTGGTGTAAATGTACTACTAGTCAGATAGCTGTTGCAGAGATAAAATTGTAAATCAGAAAGCCCTTAAGCATCACTTTGTATATGCCATTAAACTTTACTCAGTATATTCCAGCTTAAGTAAAGCTGGCTGCTTTCAGGGTTTAGTGGCAACAGGATTACTATTTAGGCTAATGGGAGAATATCTGAGAATGTGAGTACAGAAAAGATTCATGAAAGCTTTAAGCAAAACGTCTATACAATCAAACTTAACCATAAACTAGGAAAGATTTTCCCACAATACTTTCACTGAATGTATACTCCATTTAAATCAGCAATGCTACACAATAGCTGTGCCCTCCATGGCATACAGTATTCATTTTCTTTCAGTTTAGTCAGTGTTGACATGGACATTCTCAAATATAGTTTAAATTTGTTTCTGGGACACAAAAGACCAAAGGAAATATTTGTGGGATCAGGAAGAGGTATCTGTAAACCTGTTCTTTCTGCACCATGAGGCCTTCTTCTGTGGCCCTGAAGATTTAATATTTTGCTATCTGTCATGCAAACAACACGTCACTGTGATGTGTATTTGAATAAAAAACAGTAAGCATAGCAAGCATGCAGACGTATCGTGATAGAAAAGCACATTTGCAATCACTGTGGATCGACATACCAAACAGGACACACCGCAGCATCACTGAAGCAGCATCTCCACAACCCTGCAGAGTTTTAAAGGAATCAGAATTCCTGGGGCTGTGGGTACAATGCATGTGCTGTACAGCAGCAAACAGAGCACCAGGAATGGTGACAAGGGCATTCCTATTCTCTGTAGGACCTCCTTCTCTCAACTTAATCAGAACATGAGTGTAAGGAGTGGCTATTTGCTTACGTCACTGCACTTCTGTTGGTTTTAAGTCTGAAAGTTCTATGATGCAAATAAAAAGAAAACAGTGTCAGGAACACCTCTTGATTTTCCCTGCTTTGGTGTAGGGCCAGAGGGAACAGATATGAAGATAACCAATACCTGGCTCTCAAAACTATAATACAACAATGAATGCAGTTTTTATGCAGCTGTTGTACAAAGTATTATGGCCTGTGGGACTACTAATGCTGAAAGGTTTTCTTCTTAGCACACAACTCATACAATATAAAAATTTAGATGTTGTCAAAAAGCAAGTGAAATCAAAATGAAGTTTCTCCTCATAAAATCCTGTGCTACTAGTTGCTTCATCTGAGACAAAACTGAAACATATCCTAACTACTCCCACAAAAGACACTACATAAACCATTCTCAGCTCTAGTATAACTCTTACTGTGTTAAAGCACCTGCTTAACTTTACAATAAGAATGTCTCCTTAAATGTATTTCTAGAAGATTCCATATTTGGTAAAAATAAAATTACAAAACAAAATATCTGAACACAGATTATGAAACTACTTTCAAATAATCAGAACATTTTAGGGTTTGGGGTTTTTTCCCCTCTAAATTGCCTTATGGGTTCAGATGTTGAAAGAAAGGGAAACACTACAGTTTTCAAGTTGCAAACAAAACAGTGGAGTAAAAAACAATTCTGAAACTACAGTGCAACTAATAGAGCTCGAAAAGTTTCTTACAAAGCTACTTACTAGTTCTTCAGAAGTCTGTTTAAGCCAGAAGCGGTCAACAACATCTCAGGAAGGAGTTGATTGAAAAAAAAAAAAAAAAAAAAAAAGAACTGATAATAAATTTCAGTCATGCCTAGGAGCTACCCAACCATACAGTAAAGAAGGGAAGGCTTAATAATCTGGTTCACCTGTGTGGCCCACAACAAATACAGACCCTGCTTAGAGGAGCAAAAGGTACTGCCTTCCCTACTGAGACTGAAGGTAAGTGGCAGCTTAAAAAAGAAAAAGAGGAAAAAAAAAAAAAAGAAAAAAAAGGGGGGGAGAAATCTAGTGGAGTGTACAGCTCTGTATCACTCTCCACACCAGCCCAGAGAGTAAAAAACTAGTACACAGCTTCTGATGGCTTCTGCTTTGGACAGTTTCCCTATCAAGTGCATACTGCAAGAAATCCACTTCCCTAAATGGAGATTAGAAGGAGAAGTTAGTGAACCTTATAGGTCATAATCTTTCATGGGATATTATGAGCTCCTGGTCCTCTCATAGTATCATCAAAAGAGAAACAAAAGGTTAAAGGTTTCAAACAAAACAAGGGAAAACATAAGAATCTGCTGGATTAGGTGCTAAGCAGCCTGCAAGGTTAAGTAGAACTGTTAAGCAGTTCTTCAAAGCTGAAAAGTTACTAACATAAGAAATCAATTTAATTAATCCATAGGAACCACAATAATGGTACTTTTTTTTTTTTTTCTTTTTCCACTGACTTAAAATGTTCCTCTTCCCATGACGCTTGAAATAGGGAGAGAAAAGCTTGCTGTGCTTAGACGGAAATTACTCTAAGATAAATCAGTAGACTGAACTAAAAAGAAAAAAGCATCATAATCTTATTCACTTTGTTTCAATTTTCTCTATTCCAATGTCTTACCACCATCTCTATTTTGCTTTTAGTCATACACGGAAATAGAGAGACATTATGATTAAGAACTCTGTGTTGTAAACTGACTGTTACAGCTCCTGGACTCAGACCAGAAAAAGACTTGAAAAGCTTAATCTTTTGATAGAAGTGAAGCACAGTGAACCAAACAACTACATAGTTTAATAGTGTTCCCATTTGTTGGTTGTTTTTTTTTTTTAATTTTTTATTGAAAGAGCCTGTGCTTCATCTGCTTTGCTGCATAAAGAGTACTTTGGACCCATTTCATTTAATGAATGATGTTCCCCTGAAAAGACAAAAAGAACAAGACTGGAAACAACAGTTTCCCTAGCACACAGTAACAGAGCAGGTCTGGGGTTATGGGCTAGAGCCATATTTGGGCTACCAGCTAATGATACCCTCCCTCTGTTAGCTGGTTATGGATGAAAAGGTTATGAAGGACACAATGAAACGACATCATCTCAATGCAACCTGATAATTCAATAAGATAAATCATCAAAGGATCATTTATTTAAGAGGACAGGTGTGGCTTATCCCTTCTGTAAAGGAAACAGAGTTAGCACTTCTCACATTGATAGAAAACCCCACTGGCTACCTCACACTGGGATCACAAGGCCTAAAGCACAGCTAGAAATGCAACATCACAACCACCTGCAAGAGATTTGCTCCTGTTAGCCATCTTCCTAAGCAGGCATGACCATGAACTTACTGTAGCTTTGGAATGTTAAGCATATTGCAATAAAAATGTCATTGCTTCGCTTTACTTTAGGCATTGTTACAGAATGGTACCACGGACTTTATTGAGCAATTAAAAAATATACAGAAGGGACAATAGCTTCTTTTTTCTGTATTTTTCAAAATTTGACTTTCTTCCAATTGGAGAACCCAGTTTCAAATACGAAAAGGGCACTTGTTCTACAGTAACTGCATACAACTTGCTCAGTTCCAAGTACTGTCTTCATTTTTTGTTATCGTTGCTGTTATTAATCTCCAGTCATTTAGGAACTTCTCTGTTCTGGGAATTACAACTAAGTTGTTCTTTCTGATTCTATTTCCCCATAGAGTTCAGCTAACTTCTTGAACTCGGGTCCCCAGTCTCCAAGGTAATTATAATCCTGGTCAGAGTGTGTAGTGGCTGAATCCAGAGAGCTGATAGATCCAGTTTCTGATCGATGACCCTCATAGGCATATGTCTGTAGGGAGTCATATGGGGGCACGCTGGGGTCCAGATCAGCCTCTGCCAGTCTTTGCTTTATGAACTCCTGAACGTCTATACTGTCTAGGCTCAAGGAAGGATGATGCCTGGGCACAGGCTTCACTTCAGGACGAACATCCCTCCGGTATTTTAGCTCCTCAGCAGCTGATGGATTCCGCAGTGCTGTGATGTCAAATGCTTCTGTGTCTTCTTCTCCACCACCCTCATCATCGTATGTCACAACATTTTCCCGGACATCTTCTTCTGAAATGATTAAGGGCTCCTTCTTGCTACGTCTTAGGGTGATGAAAAGGACCACAATTGCTAAAGAGAAAACTGCAGATATTAGATTAGGTTTAAAGTTTACATATGAAGTAAGTACATATATGCTACAGAAACAGCAGATACTAGGTCATGAATACAGAGGTGTAATACTTTCAGGCTAATACTGGTAGTCGGGATCATTACATCAGGCATGTGTCTGTAACAAAGGGTCACCAAACCTGTCCAATCTGGAAAAGAGCATACTTCTATTTCTAAGTGAGCAATACCTTTTTTGTGTAACGTGTTACCTGAAGATAGATTACTGCATGCCTGGAAAGCAACCGTGAAATCCATATAGGTGTGTTCTGACATAGTAACATGCCAAAGTGCAACTGGCTGAGACCACACAATTAAAGGGAGAATTAATAATGTTTTACTGAAACTACAAACTTCCAATACAGCCTTGTCTTCCAAAGGGCCAGTAAAGAGCCCCCTTCTACTGTATATTTCCTTTGTGAGGATTGTGAGGTTTCTTGAGACAGTAATGAAATCCACTAGTTAGATTATCAAGGATCTCATAAAGGAGATAAAAGGGGATAACATAATTTCAGTTAAATGAGAAATGAGTAAGGCTGACATTCTTCAGAAGCACTGTTAAGGGCTTTCAGTGCTTTGTTAAAACCAACATTTAGGATATTTTTGAATGGAAATGTGTGATAAAAAAGCAGGACAAAATGTAAAAGGTTTATTTTTTTATCTTACGAATATTCAATCTTGGATGATAAAATGTCAGATTATAAACTAAACGTATTACTATACATTTTAAAACAGCTTTCTGACAAGGTAGTTCTGAAGTAACCTGTGAGAAAAGTAGTCTTTAGAAAATGTAGTCTGAAGTAACCTGTGAGAAAATGTCTTTAGAAAATGTAGAGCCTTTGGGGAAAAAAAAAAATCCTCCAAATCTCCTATATGGATAGATTCTTGCTGTCTCTATAAGAACACAGAAACACACATGAATAGTAAAGAGATCTGTACCCAGCAAGTTGTGCCAGGGAAAAAAAACAAAACAAAAAACTAATGGGTAACTTTCAAATGGTCTGAGGGAGGAGAGAAAAAAAAAAAAAGCCAAGAGAAAATGTACTTGCAAGGGCATTTATCTAATGGAGTCATCTTACAGTCTCCTATGTCCCTTGCCCCTGTGGATTATGTTGTGCATCGCTATCAGTTTATCCCACATAGGTAATTAAGAAATGGCTTTTGTACAGTGCTAATGGTGCTTCTTACAGTGTAATGCATTTCAAAAAGCTTTACTCATCTTTATTCTATCATTTTTCACACTGTTCTAGACATGGAATTAGAGTCAGTGGCTTTTTGAAATCTTTCCAAATTACAGAAAAAAGATCGGCAGTGCTAATTACTTGATAACCTCTGAAAAAGAATTTCTAGTGGATCCCAGATATTCATGAATGTACTTTAAAGTCATTTTTCCCCATTAATTTTAGCTAAACCTTTCCCCCCTAATCACAGCTATATGTTTCTAATTACCTCCTACTACCAGGCAGCCTCTGGTTCAAAAACATAGCATATTAAAAATTTCTGCCCTGTCACATTCAGAGAGCCAGTGGAAGGACAGCGTTAGTTAATCCTGAAAATGACTTACCAAGAAGAATGACAACACAGAGCAGTATTGCGATTAAAGCTCCTGTGCTCAAGCCAGTCGAGGAGAGGAAAGCTTCGGCATGGCAAGTTCTCACTTGTCCATCCCTCTCACACGCACAAACCCTAATTGTGAGAGTACTGCTGCTGCTGAGAGGGGGCACTCCACCATCAGAAATCAAAACCGGGAGGTAATAGGTATCTTGAGTGGTTCGACTGTATCTTCTTCTTCTTGTCAGTATACTGGCTGTATTATCTACAATATCAAAACCAGAATATAATTTTAATGAAGCAAAAAACTTAAAAACGTTATTGACTGTTTCTCATCAAGTAGAAGCACAGAGCATCTTAAAACTAGACAGTCCCAGAAAATGCACAATCTAGAATTGAAACTTGACAGTAAGCATTTATAATCAACAGAGAAAAAGAGGAGGCAGAGGAAAATCATTAGCATTACATAAATAAGGTTATTACAGCTCATGTACCTGTCTTACAAGTCTAAATGAACTTTGACAAACATTTTGGGCCCGGTTTGCAAGTGTTTTAATCCCATGTTATGCTGTTGGTAGTATATGGACACTTGTAAATGTGAATACTTGGAATTCTAAGAATAGCTGTTATGGAATTCAACCACAACATAAAATCCTCTTGATTCTCAGAAGAATGTTAAAAAATCTTTAGTAAAAGTAAAAATAAGACTTTCATGTTTTCCTTTTTGTGATAGGTTTTATAGATCAAGTGAGCTTTCAGAAAACAACTGAAAGGACAGTGGCCAATGACTCATGCTGTGGGGAGGTCAAGAGGAAGAAGGGAAGGGAACATATATTAAATGTTCTAAACTGGTAGACGTTAAAGGTAAGTAAGAAAAGGGGAGAGAAAGTGATGTAAGGTTATGTCACTGTTATGTTACCTACAGGTCCATCTGGCTTACGTTACAGTAAATGAGAATACTAATGCATATTACGGGCACGTTGCAAGAGCATTTATAGGCACTAATTAGGATAGTAAGCTGCCATCCATATACTTTTTAGGTCCAAGAAATGAAGGGTCATAGAGAGAATGTGGGGGGGAAAAGGCTACGATAATATTCCATACACATATGAAAATAATACCTTATTTTCATCTGTGTAAAATTTAATTTCAATTTGTTGCCATTACTTTAAAAGTACTGGCTCTGGAGTAAGAGACCATAAATATATTGAACAAAATTGGAGACAGTGAGAAGTCAGAGACATGCACAGTTGTGGGGAGAGAGAGATGGGGACTGAGAAATGGGAAGAGAGACTGAAAGAAAAGAGCTCTCCTCTTTTACTGCTTGCCCATGATTAACATATGACATGCAGGAATATTTCTTTCATTTTTATAAAAACTCTGTTAAAATTTAGCTGTTCTCCATGTTTCTTAATCTGGGTTTGTGAAATGTTATAAAAGCATACTGTGGTATTCTCAATAGTGCTAATTTTTTTCATTATATTATTGTTAAGAAATAAATGATTTCCACATTGTTCTGCAATTAGACTAGGGAGTAGAGTGTTCTGTGTTATAATTGAGTCAAATGACTGAAGAAATCAAGCCTGGTATCACTGAAATTCAGATTGCATTTGTTGTATAAAGAAAACTGTCCCCTAAAGCAGAGTGAGCAGTGTCCTTAAAGGCCAGAATGACGGATTGTGCCATGAAGATTGACCCATGAAGGTCTTACTAGGCTCTGACAGTTTAATTTTTTTTTTTCCCCACTAAGATATATGGAAAAGTCCCAAGTCTGATTTTACAAATTTGGACTGGCTTGTTCTTTGATACATGAATGGTCTTTTAATTACAGGCAGTAGATGAACAATCTCAGTGATCTGTTTTAAAATACTCCTAAACCAAGCAAATAATCTTATGGAACACAGATTACAAAAATGTTAATTGCCTGTGCGTCTTTTAATTTATCAACACCCATATATTGATATAATCAGGGGGAAAACTAAGCAGCAATTTTACCTTCGTGCTACATAACGTTGCATAAAAAACTTTGCTTGCTTTTTTATAATAATATCTCACCCATTTGCCACACTCTCCATTTTTTTATGCTAGACTGTCAGTCCCAACTTCCCTAATACTGCTGGAAGACACAGATAAAATCTTCAGTGGTTCAAAGAGGGAAACCACCACAAAATACAAAATGTCCCTCAGCTGGTCTGCGTGTCAGCTGCCAAAGCAGTGGCAGACTGAGCTCTAGATAGAGACCAAGAGCAGAAACAAATTCACATATCTGTGATTAGTAGGGAATTTCAAACAAATACATATTTTGCATAAAAACAAATTAATTATCTCAGTATATATGCTGATTAGTGCTGCTTCTGCCTTCCTACACTCAGAAAAAAATCATCGTTTCCCCCATATGCATAAAAACTCCACTGACTTTCTAGTTGTTCAGAATTCAGTTTATAATTGCTTCCCTTCCTTGAAATGCAACTTGTTACAGTTTATTAGCACAGCTCCTTTCTAACAATTTCTCTTTTTACCTCCTGCAGTTGCAGGCTGTAAACAAAACAAGGAGTTTTTGGGGAGTGAGTATGATCCCTGGAACGCTGACTGTTCACATTGCTAAATTTTAGCACTCTGCCTGGTATTTTGGTGGTTTGGGCCAACTAGGACTCATAACACTCAACCACAGTCGGAGTGTTAATAACATACACCAGGGACCCTTCCCAGCAGGCACTATGGACAAGAGTGCACCAGGTTTTTCTCCTCCCACTTTACACCGTGTTTCAACATTATTTCAACTGTCTGCGGATCCTTAAGCATCCCTAAACAGCCTTATGCTACACACTTTGCAGCACGTAACTTTGTTCCGTGACATGATAATACTGCTCTGTTGGGCTGCAATACAACTTTCACGTTATTTCATAAACTAAGAAAAAAGGAAAAAAAAAAAAAACATAATAAAGAAATCTGAGCTCCACTGGGTACTACACAGGGTCCAGAAGAGATACAAGGCTAAGTGGTAGGTAATGTACACAGTCAGCCTGTGTTATTAAGCTTCATTGCAAAAGAACAGTCACAGTCCTGTTTGTAGGTAGTTGTTCTCTTCCCTGTCCCCAAACTCCCCACCAGGACCAATGCTGACACAATAAACTAAAGTCTAAGTGGTCATCTAGAAATCCCACTGAAGTAATTAGAGAAGTGCAACACTCCCATATGCACTTTTTAGCACATGTACTTATCAACAGAAAGAGAAAGCAGTTTCAAAGATGCGACAGCTCTAAGGAGAATTATATTTCAAGTTACAAAAAATGAGAAGATGACAATCACACAACAAAGTTATCCAGAAATAATACCTTTAAAACCTAAGGATATGTTCAAGGATTCAGCTTGAAATGGTAGTTGGTAGTAAGTGACACCATATCCATGAGCTAAGCAGTAATATTAACATCTTGTCATATCTCTCATCCCAAAGGAAAAAATACTCGGACCTTATACTGCTAAATCCAAAAGGTGACAGCAAGTGTTATTACCAAAGAACAGCCTTTCATTTCTGCTTAATGCTCTACTTCATTTCTTTTAGGGTGTCCACAAGCCCCAAACACTTCAGTTCAACAACCATGTCTATACAAGTAAGAAAATCCTACAAATTCTTCTCCATGTGAATCTTGCTGGGCCTCCACCCCAAGAAGGCCCAGGATTCAAATCTGAGCAGGAAAGCATAACCACCTCCTTCCATCCTCTGGCATAAATCTAAAAAAGAGTGAATGCTCCCTCCAGTATCACTATACAGCTACAGAAGCAGCAATGAAAATGCAGGCTGGAAAGAAAAGCATCAGAGAACAAAGATGATGAAGAAAAACTGAGCATTCCTGAGCAGGAACCTAGCAGTAATGAAAGGATTCAAGCCCAGAGGCTATTGGCAAAGCTGTAAAGGAAAGAGCTTTGAGATGCGAGTATGTATGCTGTAAGGATAACTGGACAGATGGGGAGAAAATTGTAAGGACAATAAATAAAAACTGTGAGAAAAATAAAAAGACCAAAATGGACAAACTGGAAAATTCAAATGTTACAGTGAAAAAAAATTGAAAAGAGCTATAATTCAGGCATCCTTGGCTAAGGTGGAAGGTCTTGCCAACAAGGAACTGACATTTTTATACGGCACAAGATAAACACAAATTGAAAAAATAGACATATTTTATTTCAATGTTGTTTTTGTTCTTTCAACATTGTTTTTCTTGTATCATTATCATCATAGAATTAAATATTAGTATAAGACACAATTTTAGGCAAAGAAGGACCCCAAATCAAATTTTTACTTTCAAAAATTTTGCTATGGTGAATTTATGTTGTGTTCTCTTGAGGAATAACTAGATTTCTGGAGAAACAGATGTTAACATGACATATACTCAGGAGATTCTGTAACAACATACGCAATTCTAAGGATTCTCAAAGAAACAATGTAAAGCTTCTCCTTCAATGCAATTTCACAAATCTGAACACAAATAAAAAATCTGATTGTAATCTTTTGGTCACTGGCATGGAAATTTTCTGCTCCCAGTGTCATCAGAAGTGGTAATTCTCACTATTACTCTCAGTATTACAAAGCGTTAGTAGCGCGTGCTTGTGTGTACGCACAAATAAAACACTGGAAAATAACTCAGCCCTCACATATTTTTCTTTCTCATTAAATCTTCTAGACTATTTAACAAATTAGATCTCTGACATTTTTACAGAGAAGGAAACTGTGTCTAAGAAGTGATTTTCTGAAGGTTACTGAGAATCAGGGTTAGTGGAAAATGACCAAAGCTAATGACATTGGCATAATACTCACGTATTCTAGTCAGAACTCTCTTCTTCAGGACAATGGTATGCAAAGGTACGCCAGCAAAATGAATACATTATAAAAGCTTAGCCAAACCGCAGTAACAATTGCATCCTGACGGCTCCTCTGATGTTCTAAGCTCCCGTGTTTTCACTTGTTTACATTCCTTATCAAAAACTGTTAGAGGGCCCATTGAGAGGGGAACTAGAAAGACAGCAACTTTTAGGACAAAGATCTTAACATGAAACAAACAAAAAAACCACCCAACATCCCACAAACTGTAAAAGGTAAAGGCAGATAAGTATGAAGACAGACACTGATGATCTAGGACAAGGTTTACTGAGCGGGGAAAAAAAAAAAAAGTTGTATCAACAAAGTTAGTTTGAAAGGCAGGAGGGGGGATCATGGATTGAGAAATTCCTTTGATACCTGAAAACAGATACAGCAGATAGACAGGGAGA